TTTTTTTTTTTTTTTTTTTTTTTTAATAGATATTATTACCTAAGGTGCCTTGAAGAAGGGCCTCAACCTCTCTTTAGCTCCTTGGCCATATGAAAATCTCGAGTGTGGAACGGAAGATCTTAATGAGCACACAAGAATCGAATAAATTCGTATCTGATAACGTTATATCTATTTAACACTGATTCGTTACATTCCATAATGCGTAAATGATTTTATCAAAGGGTTCTCCGAAATTATTTTATAGAAATTGAAATTTTATATTTAATGTGACAATGCGATTTCCCAATGATGATAAAACTTTGTACTAAATTTAATCCTTCATAATTGGGGAAGTTGGCAGATCTTTAGAATTCTACAAGCTTAACTTGATATCGAGAAATTGGAGAACCTTTAAAGTTCTACGATGTTAACTCGTCATTTCAAAATTGAGAAATCTTTAAATTTTCTTGTGATATTAATTTGTCAATCGAAAATTGGAAAATCTTTGAAATTCTACAAAGAATTAATTTATTATTGGAGTATTGGAAAGTTCTTCAAAAAAGTTCTTCAAAGTATTTCAAAGTTCTTCTGAACAGATTAACTTATCATTGGAAAAAAACAGACAAAAATTTTTAAAATTCTATTTATCTTGCGTTTGGAAAAAACTCTCATTCTGTCCTACTTTTGCAAAAGAGCAATACAAAACGTCATACGTTTCACCTAATATTATACATATGATATTATATATATTTTTAATATTCGAAATTTTAAAATATTAAAAGTGAAAGTCGTAGGTGTTACGATTCGTGGAATTCGAAATATTAAAAGGTTATATTAAAGCTGTACTTGATCAACAAGATCGTTCGTTCCATTTGCGTTGACTATGGTATTCTCGCCCTCGCAAAGCGGGCACGGGAAATAAGACCGCACGGGAACGTAAGAAGAGGTTAGAGGGGTGGTGTGCGCTCTCATTAAGCCAGGCAAAAATGGCCAGCACAAAACAGTGAATGCAATGTGATACTAAATGATAATAAAGATAAAGATAATTATTGTTTAGCGTACGACGTTTCAGCAACACGCACGAGCAGCGACTCGTAGCTCTTTCAAATAAAAAAGGAAAACAGAAAAAAATCTTTCGATCGCGAGAGGAAGAAGCTAATGGACGATCCTTTTTTTTTT